ATATGGAGTTCAGCTGCTTAAAGGCAAAATGCTACATTCAAGTTTAATAAACTTCACACAGTATGTCCACCCTGAAGTCTGACTTTGAGGGGAAAAAAAAAAAAAAAAAAAAAAAACTACACAAGGTGCCATAAGCTGCCATCTAGAACATTATGTGTGTACATGGAAGGCTGCTGGTAAATGTAGTGTTCTCTTTAACAGGGATCTTCCACGGTAGTGCTGGGGGCATGAGCTCAGGACAAACATGGCACTGAGGGACACCAGAGCGGTCCTACCAAATCCCGTTAGGTAAGCCTGGGTTAGTGATTCCACGCTGCGAGACACTGGCTAGCAGATCCGTCACGTTCCCACTACATCAAAGGAAAATGCAGCACTACACCCCTCCTCCACACACACACACACACACACACCCTCTTCCTCGCCATGAGGATCTGCAATTGAGGGTCCAAAGGGAAAAAGAGTGCACGGCAAAGGAGAGGGAGCTCTATAAACTCCCCCCACCACAGTAGCAAAAATCGGCTTTAAAAAAAATAAAACATATCAGCGGTTCTATCCGTTTCTCTCTTCAAGCCCATGACCGTAAGACTGTATTTACACCGCTGCAGATCACCAACACATCTTCACAGTCAGGTGAAAAACCTTGAATTATATCTCTGCACTATCGACATTTCAGGACCAGGAACATGCAGCTGTGTTTTTATCTTGTCAACGATGCATTTATGAGTTTATTCAAGGGTTTTCGGTCGGATGTCTTGAGCTCAGGGGTTGTAGGATTTGTTTAAACCCATGGAGGAGCATGTAAAACAGGAGTTTTGTGGTTTTAACTAAAAGGAGGGGGGTGGGGGGTGTTTATGTGACAACAGTGACATGCTCTGAGAATGTATTTCAGGTCATTTAAAAATATGTCCTGCCCATCACATGCGTGTTGATCTTAATTTAGAAACTGTCATTTCCAAATCCTGACTTGAGTTTAGGACACTGGAGGATCACTTATTGAAAGATAAGACAAAACCCATCAAAGTGAACTTTTTTTCTTCTACACATCAAACCTGGAATGATGACATCCTAAATGCTTTGAAGATCCTACTTCACAACCACTATGGGACATTCTATGATAATTCTTACCAAGATCGTGAAATCATGTTTGTAACAGCAGGAGGTATGAATCACTGTGTGTAGACAAGGCTCTTCACAATATCTAACACATCTTAAACTCCAAAGGTACGGCAGTGATTGAGAGACAAGGTTAGGGTTAGTGACCGTTAGTCACGAGTGACCATTTTCTGCAGTAACCTAATTTCTTCCATACCATTTAAACCGTGTTTCCTTAATCTGGGTAAGAAACTAAAAGAAACTTAACACAGCTCAATTTCTTCTAAAGAAGTCTGTTGTTTTTACCATGTATATGCTTAACCTGGGTTTCTTTGAATATGTCCACATGTGGTGGAATGAGCAGAGAGATCATTTCACAAAGCCGTGCTTGTCCTAAAGCTGAATTTTAAGTCAGACTAAAAATTGAAATAATTTTGTTGATTTCTGCAGCCAAACACACGGTCATTTGCAAAATTTACACATTCGCACAAGTAAGAAAAATCTGTGCTCTTTCAGGTACAGTCCCGTCACTGTGTCATCAGCCCAAAATAAATCTCTACAAGCTGAGGAGTCACAGATATCACTAACACACTTATAAATATATCAGGCAATTTCCTGCTTCAACAACATGTTTTCTGTGCATATTAAATGTAGACAAGGTGATGAATAATGTTATTCTGGAATATGATAAATGATAATCTCTTTAAATTATAAACAGTTAGGAACCAGTTCCAACAAACACAATGCCCCTTGGCTCCATGAAGGAAGGGGGCACATCGCCTAATGAAATGGTCCTCACTGAACTTTTAGCCTGCAGACTCTCCATCCTAAAACAGCTATAGGTTTACATAAACATCACCGGATTCATACCACACCAGTGACTCTTTGATGTGGTCAGCGTTGTTTGAAAACCACATTAACCATACAGTAAATGAAACTGAACACCATTAGGCATCTTGACACCAAAATCTCAGCTATTGTGGCGGAGGCGACCTATCAAGCTAGAAGCACTAAAATCTGCTGACAATCAGCAACTCCCCAACAGCTCCATCATGACTGGACGGCATGTGCAGGAATGTCATGGTCAATGGAAATCAATCTAAACTACTGGGATTGGGGGCGGCGGTGGGGCTAGGGATGGAAGAGAATGAAAGAGAGAATGTGCCTTTGATCTCAGTGAAAACCGATCCCAGGCCTGCAGATACTGTGGCTGCGATGGCCAGCAGCAGAGGCAGCAATCTGACATCAGTGAGAAAGCCAGAGGACTCATGTTCCGTGATCCTTCCACCAAGCCCTGGCTCTTTTTATTGGATAAGTGAGAGAAACGTATATAAAATGACTACCGTTTTATTGAAGACAGGGTGAGGGGGGAAAATTGGGTGAAAAAAAAAAATAAAGCAGCCATGGTAAATGAAATGAAAGCAGGGCTTTAAAAGTTTTTGGCAGCGAGTACGCTGCCTAACTGCCTGGCCTAATTCATCTGCAGTGAGGGGTAATTTCCTCTCATATAGTCAGCTGGTCTCCATACAGACCTCTACGGGTTTTTCAGTGCATACGATGGGAATAAAATGATAAAACTGACCAGAACACAAGCCATAAAAAGAATTTGGAAAGCATCATACTCTCATAAACTATTGAACTGAAGAGGGTGAATCATGAGGTAATTCAGGATCACGTTTTCTCCACAATGTCACTTACTTTCACCCTCTGCAACTTTGGCAGAGGGGAAGCAATGCAATTTTAACATCATTCCATGATAGAGTTGCGTATGAATGAAGATCCTTTACACGCAGCATGTGGCATCTGCCCCCGACAATCACATCTGCCTCCAAAAGCCAATTCTTATAGCAACACAACTCACATTTCAAAACTTTACCCTGATGAAACTAACTCATATGCACTGCAAAAGCACAAACAACCCAGGGCTTTTGCTTCCTCTGCACCATGTGTGAACGTTTCCTGTATGGAGGCACCAAACCATAGCCAGACTGAGGTTGGTTGTCTTCCCAAGTGTGATACAGAGACGTGGACAAAACAGGATTAGAGTGGACAGCTGTTGGTGTGCCCTGCGTTTTATGTCTGTCTTGAGAGGAGAAATTTGCAAACGGGACAGACACAGGAAGCCGCCAGTGAGAGACCTGCAGCTGGCCTGAAATTAATACCGTTACAGGGACGTTTTCTCCAACAATACACGCCACCCCAGGTCAGTGCTATAAACTCCTCTGCAAAGGCAGCCTCAGAGACGTGATGCTGGCTTTAGGCCTCCCTCAGTCATGCTGGGCTAATTAGAGGGCTTACTTGGGTCATGTAGACATGCATCACCTAAGATTTTAACAAGATGAGAAATACTTTATATCTCATGCTAATCTGCTGGAAAATATGGCAGGCATTTGCTTCACATATGGTTGTCAAGAGGACAGGTGTCAACGATGCTAGCGCAAGAGGTTAAATATTGTACAGAGATACTACACAACAACAACAACAACACAAACATTAAATGCTACAGACATGTGGAGGTGGGTGGAGTTTAAGTTTGGAAGACTGTCCTTTATACATCAATTCTTTCATTTATTTTAACCCCCAATTTATAATTATAAGTCTGAGTTGTTGGCACATAAAATGTGAATGATTTATTAATTTTAAAAAAGGGAGGGTTTCCTCATTGAATCTAAATATTGAAATCAAAGCAACTAATTAGTCAATTAATTGTTTGGTCTCTTAAATCTTAAGAAAAAAAAACGAGTACGTATCACAAGTTTTCACAGCCCAGAGCAACATCACAGATTGCTTATTTTCTCTAACCAGCAATCCAAACCACAAGCTATTCAATTTACAATGAATGGAAATGGAGACAAGCAGGCAAATGTTCACATTTGAGAATCTCACAACACTGAATGTTTGCAATTTTTACTGAAATAACAAAATCAATTATCAAAATTAGGGCTGGATATAGGTCTTAAGTTTGCAAAGTCTTGTCACATCTTGAAGTACCGAACTGAGTATTGCAATTCTTTTAAAGTACCATGAATCTTATATTAAATTTCATTTCATTTTTTCTGATTTCTGCTTACTTTATCAGTACGGTCTGAAAAAACAACTGATACCATCAATGACATTTAATATCATAGGTAATGTTTTTAAAGTGTAACAGCATAACTCATGATAGACTCTACAGCCATGTTTGCAGAGTCTGTGGGCAGGTAAATCAACAGGTTGCCTCCTCAGTCTGCACACTTCTATGTTACAATAACAGAATATGTAGCATTACTATGAGAGAGTTTACAAACAACTTCTGTCATCTATCGTCAGTGGTCTTTTAAACTGTAGTATCTGAAATCGTGCCAAAACTCGGATTTAACCTGAGCAGGTGCAACAAGCAAGTTCAATCGCCGTTGTCTATCGCCATACTCCACGCTCTGCTTTCCGTCTCTCAAGCACATGTTAATAAACAAAGCGTACTTGTTGTTTCAGACCAGCACTTACAGCATCACTTCACAACCTTTTGCCAGTTAAATAGAAACCTCTTCACTTTAACCCCGCCCCCAAAGAAAATAACTAATATCATACTTACAATTTAACACTGATTCTAGAGACATTTTTTTGACCCCTAATTAAAATCGCCAATGATTTATTTTCTGACAAATGACTGATCAAAATTTGACTTCACTAAATACACATACATATATACATATATGTTCTTGCCACGAAAAATGTATGAAATGCTTATACCATTCACTAACTGAGATGCAGAGATTCTCAGATGTAATGCTAATTTTTCTTTTGTCTGACTCAGGCAAAAAGTTGTTCTCAGTTCTGAGCTCATGGCTGTACCAACAGCATTTCATGCCCTGATGCCATATGAGTTAAACTGATAAAGTGATACATAAAAAACAAGAGAAAGTACTGACCGTTCTGGGCATGGGTGGTGAGAGGGAGCCATTGTTCATGTAGGAGTCATTGTTCATGTTACTCATCATGATGTAACCTGGGTAGCCCGGGTACGGATGGCCTTTGCTGTACATGTCTTGATGCTTTCCTAATAAAAAAATAAAAAAATAAATAAAAAAGGTGGAAAAAAATAGCGGTCAGTTTGTTGTGTGTTTGCATAAAGAACAGGCACAAGCAAGATTTAAACAGCAGGTATACAAACTCTCCCCTCAGTGTGGCTTTAAAACACAAACAAATCTTAAAGATGCCAAATTCCAAATGTGTTTTAGACAATAAACCATGCACGTAATAATGACAAAGCTGAACACAAAGTTCTGCCTCTGCCTGTTTTGATGCTGTAATGGTATCGCTGTCGATCGCTTTAACCCGTGCCCTATTTTGCCTCAGCCTTTTGTTTGTGCCCTTTCTTCCCGTCTTGGAGAGGAGGGTCGCATTATACAGAGGAACAATGGAGCCCCTCTGTGCCAATTAGCACCAATTAGAAGAACATACAGACTGTGTCAAAACAGGAGACGCCCCAACTGTTCCTCTATGCCTTTGACCTGAGAGGGGGAGATTTATACAAGAGGCCTCAATACAGCGCCACTCGCCACTCAACTGCGCGCTGCGTAATAAGGCCGGGGGGGTGGGTGTAGGAGTGTTTTTTGGTTTACAGCCTGATGGCAACATGGATCTTGTTGTGAAGAAAGCCAGTGTTTGGTTTGAGGGGGGATCCTATTTTGGAGTGAAAGGGGAACAAAGAGAAGACACACTTCTCCTCAAAGCCCTATAATGATGACCTGCAGCAGTGGGGTCAGACTACAATAGCCAGAGAGCAATGAGCCCCGAGCGGCAGCAACATGTTGCATGTGACAGTGCAACCGCAGAGCTGATGTATGTGGGTAAATAATTTACTGGGGGTAAATGCATAATAAGAAGCACAAGAGCCAGATAGAAATGTGATTTTGAACTATCTTCAATCGTGCCACATTTTCCAGAACGATTATTCTCAAAATAAAACAACAGGGGAAAAAGAAGGTGCACAATCATCCTCCTTTCACTTCAAGTATTCTTTGTTTTCCAATTTCTGCAGGTACCCTCATCTGTGAGGTAGGTAACAGGTAGCTGTGTCCATGAAGGTATAGCATGACTAGACCTGACCAGACTTGGATCAGAGATTATCTGTCTGAGAGCAGCAGAAACAGGGGGCTCTGATAAGAACAGGACCAACAGTGCAACAGTGTGACTGATCACTTCTGTGTGGGGAAAGCGAGGTGGTGCTTTCTCACACTCACTTCTCATGCTACAGCACATTATTCTGAAAATCCAGGGTTTTATTGCAGCTAAATGGCACAGGGACTGTAATATAAAGCATAAGTCAACTTAACAAGCTCTTGCTGAAGGCTGTGTCACTTACCATCTTCCGGATGGTCTCGGTGTTTTTCATGATATGAATCTTGCGGTATTTGGGACTGTCTAGCTGCCTGTAAAAAAAAAAAAAAAAAAGAAGAAGAAAAAGAAATAAAAAGAAATGAAATGATGCTGAATCAATTAGGAGGGCCTTCAAAGGCAGTTACACACGCAGACATGGTGATACGGTCAGACACCCACAAACAGTGCTGGGACAAATGTTGTCCCTTTGCTTGTCACCAAAGCAGAACAAGCACACACACACACACACACACACACACACACACACACACACACACACACACACACACACACACACACACACACACACACACACACACACAGCACTATCTATAGAGGGGTGATGGAGCAGCCTGCATCAAAGCTTCAAAAGAACCACTTAATTAAGCTTCATGTCCTTAAGGAGCTTACAAATTAACTTGTTTTCAGTACCATAGGTCCACTCTCATTTTCATCTCTCAGTTTAAGCCTCCTTCTAAATTCAAATAAATAGAGTGTATTTGTGTTATAAATTAAAAGCCTCAGTGAAAAGTGAAATAAAATCATCCCATAAAAAGAGAAAATGGTGCAGACAGTTTTAGCTTAAAAAAAGAAAAAAGAAAGAAAAATTCCCTGCACTTCACACATCCATTTCCTTTCTCTTTTTGAATCAGAATTGGGAAGAGGACCTCTTTTTTGGAGTTCAGACCCCTCAGGATGGCTTCAAGCTGAGCGAGGGAACTTCGCTGGATTCCTAATTAACATTCAGCCTCTGTCTCGTGCGTCTCTAGGACATTTGGTGGTGAATGTGTACAGTCTTGTTCAGGATGTGCCCAAAATTTCATTAACACTGCGGTTAATGACAAAAACAGCCAACTAACTTTGTAGTGGGGAAGCTGCAGCCTGCATCCTGAGGTCAGTGCACGGGGTAGACGGGATGCAGAAAAAAAAATTAAGTAGAAATTTTAACCGTGATGTTTCATACCTACTCTGTGTCTTTGTGTGTGCTAGTAAAATGCAAGTACCGAGTGTAAAGCAGGAGAGCAATAATTTTAGAAACATTAAAAATTCATAATTAATAATTCCTCCATTGAGATTCTACTTGCATTTACATACACAATGAATTCAACACATTTATACATTTAAGAATTTCTTCTGATAAACACATCTTGCCTCTTAATATTCTTTATTAATATCTGAGCAGTGAGGATGGGCCAAAACAAATGTAACTGTGAATGTTTTTAATATATTTCTCCGCCCCAAAACCTGCAAAAACAATTTATGGGCACCAGTAAACGGATACGATAATAATAATAATATTTAGAATTGGCAGGGAACAAAAATGCAAAGATCACATCCTGATAACAAAATAACTGGAAAGTGTCCCTTGTTTAGGTTGCATTTTATTAGCTTTGATCTTTGAAGTAAATTAATAATCTTGTTTGTCAATAGCTTTTGCTAAACAGATTCATGTGCTGGTGTTTACAGCTGCTGAGGGTGGTAGTGTACAGCAGCAAACACAGCTACTAGCCTACTTCTCACAGGCAGCACACAAGGCCCCAATTCTTTCATCCAAAAATATATATCTTTGGAATCCAAATTTCACAATGAATTCATGAAATATAACTGATACAGGGGGTCAATACATTTAGGCCTCTAGCATCTCCAGTCAGAAGATTATTGAGTACTCAGGATATGGTGTTTGAAGGAGCATATGTTTGGTTTCTGTAGGTAGACCAGGATCTGAAGACTGTTAATGGCATCACTGAAGCTATTCATTTTCAATTAAAATAAAAATACACACAATGAGACAGGTGAGGCTATAAATGCAACTGAACTCAGCTTGTACATTATCTAATCAGAGAGAAATCTTAATGATAAAAATGTATAAAATACAATAGAAAACTAATCAAACTTGAAAAAAACATTAATTGTCCTATATTGGTCATTTTCCTTTTGGTGCAGATCACCCATCTTTTTGACTGGCAAACTCACTGATATCAAAGTGTTAAAAGCTAAATGAAAACCAGGTCTTTTCATGATTAAAAAGGATAAAACAACTTTGTTTACAGGCTGGTGCAGGCTGTGTCCTCTCCTCTCTGGTGGAGTTCAGAGTTGATACCCACCTCTCTCCCTCATAATTCACCACATCAGTGAAAACAGGCATTACTCACATCGTGACTGTTGCTGTTGGGGCTGCTCTCCGACTCGTTGACCAGAGATGACTTGATGTCCGCCAGGTCTCCCTCTTCCTCCGAGTGGCTGAGCTCGGCGAAGATCTGCTCCTTGTGCGGGTCTCCTTCGTCTTTGAACGGGATCATTTCGTCTGTAGCGCACAGCTCCGGGTCTCCACCGCCGCCGCCGCCTGATAACTGTGGCATTTTTTGTGTGTGTGTTTTTTCAAATTCTTTACTGTGTTTACTTCACCAAGAAAACTGGAGACAACACACACGCCACAACTGTCCAAAACTACAGAGGGGGAAAACTCCCACCAAAATCCCCCGTAACCGACTGGGAAAACGTCCCCTCCGTTTCACCGGAGCGTCGACCGTGAGTCACTTGAAGAGGAAGCGGCGTGCAAACACGCTGCCGGTGTGTTTTTACTGAAGCAACAGGAGGAGTGTGTCTGCTGTCGGCGTCCTCTTTCACCACGAGTGTTTCAACTAAAACGAGTGAAACTCAGACCCGGAAAACTTGAGATGTAAGGGGTCGGAATGAGAGTCCGGTGCACGCCTCAATGTCATGAGGAAAAAATAAAAAAGGGAGACAAACCACGAGTTAAAATCTCATCACTAGTTTTTCAGTCAACACACGCACAACTGACGACGGATATGGTCCAGTAAAAAAAATGACTCAACGCTAGAAAAGTGCATTTAGGCTAGCCTATAAAAGTGGGAGAAAATATTTCCTCGGTGGTCCAGTGAAGAAGCTGAGTCGTCCTTCAATGTGGGCAAGAAAAAAACACAGTCGGCTATGACAAAACTAAAACACCGTCTAGAGGTGAAAAGGTAACTGATGGATGTGCAACTGGAAGAAAACAGTTTCAACACTTAGACGAGACAAGCAACGCAGTGAGCCGCTTTCATGCTTAAAAATACATCCTCGTAGCTGGTCGGTTGAGGAGGGATAAAAGCAAAAGTCATAAAACAATCACAAAAAAAGAAGATAGAGCGGAAAGACGCCGTGGACCGACTTCCCACTGCTCCCGCACTGCTTCCACAGTGTAATGTAACCAGTGTGTGTATGTGTGTGTTGGTAATGTAGCTGTGCTCCCTCCTCCTCCTCCTCCTCTTTCTCTCTCTCTCTTCAGTCACTGGAAGGAAGGAGAGATGAAAGGGAAGCCGAGGCTCTGATTGACACCGCACCGATTGACACTCCTCCTGAGAGAGATTTATACACAGCTCACAACAAATGGGCAGACAGGAGGGGAGGAAGAAGAAGAAGAAGAAGCGGCGAGGCAGACACACGCACTGTGTGTGATGGGTGAAAACAATCACGATAAATAAAAATGATAATAGAAATAGAGAAGAACAAGACAGGCTTGAGCTTGTCTGGTCGAGGCAAAAGAAGTGGAATTGAATCAAAACGCAAGAAATGGCAATAACGTTATTTTCAGTAGAAATAATCAGAAGCTGAGGCCACAGAAAAAGAAGAAAAAAACACTCTTTGGTCATTTTACATTTTTACCAACCTATAACAGGGTCGTATAGATTTATCTTTTATTTAGGCCTATTTGCTTATTTATGTATTTATTTAGCATCAAATGGGTATCTGTTTTTTCACTCTTTAAACTGTTTGTTTTCTAACAGTTTTTTTTCTAACAATATGTGGGAATATTACATTTATATTATTGATATTCACCAAAATAAAATATTTAAGTCTCCAACTGGCACTATGATGAGATAACCGACTGTGATATAATGGTCTAACGAAATAATAGACAACAAGGTTCCCTAAACTTTTGCATGTGAGTGACCCCTAAAAATATAAAATTCCTCAGACACCCATCGGATCCATTATTCTCATATGGAAATATGGAAACGATGAAACGTTTGATCAGAGGTTATATTAATTCATTATTAGCACCTAGGCTACAAGGACAGAAAAAACAACCAAGTGTTTTCCACTGTTATTATTGGGGGGGAAATACACACGTATAGATAAACTGAATAAATAAATTAGTTGATTAATTAAGAATGAAATAGGCTAATGTGCAAAAACAGGCCACAAACATAGAGAAAGACTGTTTAAAAGAAAAGAACTTGAGGCATTGAGTCTCTAATATTTCATATTTCATGAGAAAATACAGGAAAAAGAAAAGGAAAATAAACAAAAAAAACACAGTGGAAGTGGCGTGCCTTCTGCGTCTGTCTGAGCAGTGAGAGATTGCGTGAGAATCAAAGTTGGGATGGGGAGGCAGATCTTTATAAAGCGCGGAGGTGGGGTTAGCGGGGCGGAGCCGCGGCTCCCTTTGATCTTGCGGCGGCTGGCTCTTTCATCCCCGACTCCCCCCGCCCGGTTCTTCCCCCCACCGCCCCGCAGCACCACCACCACCACCACCACCTCCCTCCCTCCCTCCCTCCTCGCTCTCCCTCGCCTTTGTATGACTAAATTTGGTCCGAGTGTGGAGCCGGGCCAACATTTCCACGTGTGCGTTCATCCCAGCTGAGAGAGAGGAGAGAGGACAGAGAGGGAGAGAGAGAGAGAGGGGGTTCTCTTCCGGGTAAGGAGACAGCGAGAAAAAAAAGATCAAAAGCTTTGGGGTTTTGGAAGCGGAGTGTGGATTCAAAAGAGCCGAGACTGGCTGCATTCCAGAGTATAGCGGAAAGCGCGCGCACCCTCACGCGCCCTCATACACGTGTACGCACAAGCACGCATGCACGCGAGATACAGGCACCAACACGCGCGTTAAGTTACACCGCCGATAGAGAGAGAGTTAATTAAAAAGATTTCACACCGGCAGACCCGAACAACCAAACCTTTCATTTATAAAACCTTTTAACATTATATTTCATGTTTCCAGCCAAAAAAAAAAAAATGTGACACAAGGTATAAACTCTGGCTGTTTTCCTTCCCACTCTGTAGAAAGTGTCGGTTCTACTTCATTACAGCGCTTCTTTAATTTAATTAGCCGCCACTTTTTTTTCTGGCACAATTTGAAATGATGCTACCTACAACCGCCACCACCCTAAAACCACGCTAATAGGAACAACCCCATTTTCTGTAAATATGTTTTTCTTCCGTGGCTTTTCCAGCATTCACCTTGGATATGGTATTAAATCATAACATTTTCGTGGGGCAGGGGGGATGTTGGGTTAAAGGCCTGTTAAGATAGGCTACTAAAAAGAGACAGTGCAGGCCTGCAGGGCCTGAGGTAAGAGGTGAAGAGATCCATACTGTGAAAAAACATTAAATGAACCACAGGACTAAATGATTAATGTTCAGTTTTGGTTTATTGGCATTGTAATATTTTATATAAAAAAAAACAAAAAACATATCAGACTTAGTTGGGGATACCAGTCTTAATCCTAATATTCTGTTTGGACACCCCCGGCCCTCTTTAACATCTCAAAACATTATGCTTTATCACCTTGAACCTACATGGCGCATCCTAATTTTATGAGTATTGATTGTAAACATGATTTTGAACTGATTGAGTCTCAAACAATGATGCATTAGCGCTAAAATATAATTAAATACAATGCATTTTCACATGCGTTACATCAGCAATTGTTGTTGACAAGACTTCCCAAATAAGTCTATTTAAATTTCTATTATTGGAGTTTCACGATAATTTCTTCATTAAAGGTCTGACAGGGAGTTAGACCTCTGTAGGGTATAAATGACCCCAAACACGAAGAACCTCATTATGTAGAATAACAAACATTTCTTTATGTAAGAATGACTTCTTTGGAAACAAGAACATATTTTGGTCATGCATAGCCCCTGTAAAATTTGAAACATGAAATATTTCCTCTTTTGGTGTAATAATCCTGTTATCCTGTTTTGTTATTTTCATTAAATGTGCAAACCGGGTTTGTGGCAAGGGGTTAAAATTTTTACCTCTTTATAGCCATATATGTTTAAAAAGATATAGAAAGCAGTAATAATAATTGAAAAATCAACCCATATCTGAGGGGAAAATTTAGATTTTGCAGTTACTTTTATTACTTTTACACATACAACAGCAGGATCTGTGGGACCCCAGTTAACGAGGAAGTAAAGCTAAAGTCAACAAATCAGCCATTTCATGTCTGACCAAAGAAATATTGAAACTAATAACTAAACAACTGGAAAATTGAATCAGAAAAAACAAACAATACATTTTTTTAAAGAAGCAGACAAGGGAGACAGTATCCAAGACACCCCCCAAAAAAATCATAAACAACAGTTGAATGACACTATTCAACATACAGTTACCAAGGAATTAAGAAATAAAGCCAAAGAATGTAGCATCTTATTGCTGTTGTTGCACATGTTAAATAATGCAGTTTTGCAGGCCGCATTTTGGTCTAAAGGAACAAGAAAACAAAGACAGTCAGGGTGTTTTGTTTCATGCATGGCAATTTTCCAATACAACCTTAAAGTTTACTTGAATTTGATATTCTGGTCTTTTAAAGTGGAAGTGCAGTTTGTGGAAGTCTTTGGTGAGTGAGAGATTCATTATTTAATGTTCTCTGCTGCATGGTGAGAGACCACTGCAGAGAAGCCCATCTTCCTGATTAGAAGGCCTGTGAGAAGGGTTCATTTGTTCACCAGGACGCTACACGGATGTACATATTTCACTGAGCGATATGGGTTTTCTTTTTCACCATCTTTTTCAGTTCAGGCCTATTTAATGAATACGGTTTGCTGTAGCAGAATAAGCGCATCAGTAATAAGCCAGCAGAGATAAAGATGAAGCTTTTGTTTGCTGTGTAATGATTCTAGTTTAGCGCCTTGATGACAAGGCACCAAACGACAGCCTTTCTAATGAAGCTGCTGTCAGAACCACCTTATGCACTTTCCCTTGACATCAAAATACATTATATTCTCCAGCGAGGCTCTGTGTATCGCAGCCCCGTTGTTAAAATAACCAGGAAAGTTGGTGTGGAGGGAAAAGAGAGAGAAGGAAGGAGGGGAAGAAAAAAAAACAGAGCTACATTAGCATTTCTCTCCTAATGAGTTCATAAGAGTGACCCCTCTGGATCTCACATGAAAAGGAAGATTTCCTGCTGCGCTGTGACCTGAATTCAGTTGTCTCTCACTTTAGATACTACATTTTGCATGTTGTATAAGGAAGGAATATAACTATACACAGGGCATAATTTATCACCAGCAGATTTCAGTTCCTTATCTCCCTGCTAAAAGACCAGTAGTCAATCTGAAACAGGAAATAAAT